TCACTGCCCCACCTGGAGCTCCCAGTCTTGCAGGAGATCCGTAATCCTGGGGTCTCAGAGGCCTCAGGGGTAACTTCCACTGACACAAAAATCTATGGTGGGCATCGGTCCTTATTTACCAGTTCAGGTGTAGTCRACAGTGAACCATGCGATCAGGAGCRTGAACAGCCCCTCGCACCCCCCACATCCTCCCCTCCCCCATTCAACAAAGAGGTCAAGGTACCCAGCAGGGGAAACCCAAACGACTCTCGGACAGGCTATAGCTTTTTAGTGACAACAGAAAGATTTCGCCATCCCAGCTGGGCATCCTCTTCCCCAAATCAGAGATCATTTCACAAGGGGAGACGATATGGAGAAAGCACCCTGCAGAGGAGAGCAGCACCAAGGAGGCYGTGCAGAGCCAGCAGCAGAGTGGACGAACCCACAGCAGAGCAAGAGCAGACCAGCAACCCACACCCACAGAGCAGGGGAACCGCAGAACAAAAGCAGTCCATTTCCAAGAGGTCCAGCACCAGATTCTCCCCTTGCTCTCTGCAAGGCACCCCAGAAGCCCGGAAGCTGACCATAACTCACCATCCACGAGGCCACCACACCAAGAAGAGCGCAGCGACTTCCCCTTTGCTGAGAGGGTCTGACTCCCTTCCCTTCTCTATGAGTTACTGCCTGTGACGTGCCACAGTCACACTCTAAGCCCTAGGGACCACTGTCCTGTGACCTGCCTCAGGGCCTGAGTTACTGTTGGCTCCTCCAACCCTCAAACCAAAGGAGAGAACACTAGTCCTGGAGCAGAGCCCCAATCCCACCGTACAGCAGGGCCAACACCGAGGCGTTCTGAAATTCACATTCCCAGCACCAACCCCCAGGGACTCCGGTTCAGTAGGTCAGGGGTGGAGCCCAGGCACCTGCCCTGTAAACAAGGTACCAGGGCAGCACCAATGGCCAGCCCAGCTCGGAAGCCAATCACTAGAGAACTCCATGAAGCTTCATTTTTCTCTGATCCTTTCTCTTCTSCAACTTTACTTATTCCTTGTCTCAACACGCAAGAGGACAGTGGAGATGGAGAACAGAAGAAAGTGAGGTTCCAAAGTGAGCTGCCCCAAGCTTACCCAAGGCAGTCAACCTCTCTGAGCCCCAGTTTTCACATCCGCAAAATGGCAGTAAGACTACCTGCCCACACAGAAGAAATGCACATAGGACATCCTGCCATGTACAACAGAGTGGATAAACCTGGAGGACATCATGTYAAGTGAAATAAGCCAGACATGGAGACGAGTAGTGCATGATCTCACTGATACCTGAAACTAAAAATGTCACACTCAGAAGCAGATAATAGAATGGTGGCTACCAGGCCCAGAGCAAGGAAAGAAGGGGAGAAATGTCAGTGAAAGGGCTCAAACTTCCAATTATAAAATGAATGAATTCTGGCAGATTGAATGTATAGCATGGTGACTAGAGTTAATAGTAGTTTTTACTTAAAACTTGCTAAGAGTAGATGTTAAGGGTCCTACCCTCCCCCAACACACACACACACACACACACACACACACACACACCCCACATAAATCTTTTTTAAAGAAAGATTTTTCTTAGTATTTATTTCTCTTAGTTGTACACAATGCATTTATTTTTATTTATTTATTTTTATGTGGTTCTGGGAATCAAACCCAGGGCCTTGCACGCACCAGGCAAGCATTCTACCACTGAGCCACAACCTCAGCCCCTACCACATAAATTTTTAACTGTGGTAATCATTTCATGGTGTATACTTACTGCAAATCATTGCAAACCTTGAATATATTCAATTTTTTTGTTAATTATACCTTGAATTATTCAATTTTTGTTAATTATACCTCAATAAAACTATAAAAACATAAATAAATACATTTAGGAAAAGACTTTAGAATCCATTTGATTAGCAGAAAGCATTTTTCAATATCCCTACTGTTTTTCTTTTAAATTTCAGTCTAATATGAAAATTAGGATGCTAATATCAACAAAGGAAGGCCCGATGTGGACACCTCCCTCCATAATTTTTCATGGGAACCAAGGGTGAAATACATTACAATTTTTGGGTGTCATCAGAGCTCTGAAACACAAAGGTCAAGGAGCGGGGGTGGGGTGGGGAGCAGCAAACATAAAATAATGCAAAGAAAAAGGGAAACAAGGGCTGGGGTTGTGGTTCACATGTGAGGTGCTGCATTCGATTCTCAGCATCACATGAAAATAAATAATAAATRAAATAAAGAGATTGTGTCCAACTACAAAAAAATTAACAACAACAACAACAAAAAGCAAACAAGATCTCCACTGTAATACCAAATCAAAGTGGCAGAAGTAGGTTCAGGGCTTCCCACCATCCTCAGCATACCCATGCAACAACAGATGAGAACTTCTGAAGTAAAACTCAGCATCGCCCACTGAGTCCTTTCCCACACAGTCTCACAGAATCTATTTTTGTATTCCAGTGAGATTTGCAGCAAAGAATAGAGCTCCAGTAAAAGAGGAAATAATTGCTGTGCCGTACCTGGGGTTTTCTCACTTCCTTATTTGAAAATAATCACCCAACAAGTCCAAAAAATTCAGAATGGTACACTCTTCTACACACTGACATATATCATTGCAGACATTTTGGAACTAMACCAAGTCAGCTGAAAGGTTCTGGGTCATTTGCCATCTTCTTACAAAACTTATAATGTTATATTTCAGCACAAGGAGCCAGAATAAACCTTCCCAATCATCTGGTCCAACCCCATCCTTTTACAAATGAAGAACATGGGAAATAAGCTGGCTGCTCCAACCCACCAAAGACCCTAATTAAAACATCTGCTCAATCTTAAGGTGGCTGCCAAATTCGGAGAGGGGGTGGGAAATAAAGTTAAACCTCCCAAACATTTTTAGTGGAATAGTAATGATGATCAAGGGGCCTATTAAATGACAAAAGAGGAAGGTTCATAGCAGCAGTAGTACCCCCGTCTCAAAGTCTGGGCCACTTATGTCTGGAGAACTGAGAGATGAACAACTGTCAGAGTGAACATGATAAATCTGTGAGGGGAGGAAGAGAATGCAGGGACCTAATCACCACACACTGGCCTGAGTTATACCTAAACCAATGGATGCCCAGTAGTCGCCCTGCCCTGATGGGATGCTGCCTCATTTCCAGAAAGGTGAAGATTTGAGAAAATGGTTCRTGCACAGCAGAGGTACATGGCTACTGACCCCACAAGAGAGGGGCAGTTTAGACCTTGGCCACCAACAGCAGCAGCACCAGGGAGCTTATRAGAAATGCAGAATTTTAGCTCCACCCCCAAGTCAGAGTCAGACTATGCACATTGACAAAATCCCCAGGCCCTTCTGTGCACAGAAAAGTTTGGAGAAGCCTTTCTTTATCTAACACAGCAGAAAACTAAAGTGTACCTGACTACCTGGAACCACCTTTAACCTAAGTTTCCACGCCCATCTTCTCTTTCCTATAATTTCATTTGTCCCTGTAGCCATTGATTCTGAACTGTAGAGACTTCCCACTAAGCAGCTTATTTTAATCGCCCATCAAAATAATTTCTTTCTGATGAGAGGTTATTTGTTCTCAGAACAGAAACACCACTGTGAAACATTTCATTCTTTCCGAAACACTTGACGTTAAAAGCTCACAGTAGACTGAGACAGAGTCTTTATTTAAAAAAGTAAAATATTAGAGGAGATCAAGTTTTCCAGGCATTTCATCACTGGATGCTTCCAAACARTATTCAAAGAATTCTTTTTACTACGTTGTATGTGTGCGTGCACCTGCGCGCATTGGGGATTGAACTAAGTAAGGGCTTCATGCATCCTAAGCATGCACTCTACCACTGGGCTACACTCACAGTCCTTAATTTTTAATAACATCACCACTGTGATGTTTTAAAGAACAATCCGTTAGAGAGTCCAGTGTGAGGTGCCAGTACAATGAYAATATATCCATGGAGCTCTGAATGAGGGGTAGGCGGTTCACATTCTGCCCATGAGGTCAGAATGGACTGCTACCATGACATAAACTCATCTGCAGAAACAACCATTTGGGTCTGTTCTTCTTTGGGTCTGTGTAGGTAGCTCCCCCAGCAATGAAATGCCATCATGCACATATGAATTATGTGCTTTTTCTATCATCATGTCCCTCTAAAGTAAAGAGAAACAACCTCTAGGAAAACTACCAATCCAGATCCCAGACATTTCGGGTGAGACATCTTTTTCATTAACAGTCATTTCTATTACAAAGTGAGCAAGGCTCTATGTTAAGAGACCTGCTCAAGTTTACGGGTTTAGAGTAGGCTATTCCCGTGAWGAGAGCACCTTGGGAAGCTACGCTATCTTTTTAAGGTCACTAAGAATTCATAAATTCTTGATTCATTTTCATCAGATGGGTCAGGATTGGACRAGTCGAATTAAGGCCCAAGTCACACCAGGGATCACTGAGGCACAGTTAAATGAAGCCCATAATTTTCCAAGCTCCTGGGTTAGTGTCAGGAGACTAGATGATCCATGCATAGCCCACAGCAAGGCAAAAAACAGAAGACCAAAAGAGGAAGAGAGGCCGTGACATGCATCCATCCGGGTATGTCTTCTGCTACTGTTAATCAGAGCATGTGTCACACTTCCTGGGGACACTGACGTTACTATCTCTGGCAGAAAGGATTGGAATTTTTGCACTTTAAAAGGAGAAGCAGGGCAAGAGACAGAAGCTAGGCTGGTGGGCAGCAGAGAGGAGGAGGGCTGCTTCTCCATAAACATGTTCTCCAAAAGGGACGCCTTTTCATCAGAAATGTCAGGGTCATGTGACAATAACACGGAATTGACCAAGCATGAGGGCTGGCAGCCGCGTTCCTCACTCCTATCCCAAACTGAGTCTCTGCCTTCCACCCTGGCTGCTCTCCATGCTGGAACCTGTCCTGTGTCTTGCAAGGCATAGAAAATTCCAGAAACAAGGCTTTTGCCCTAGTATAGAACACCAGAGAAGAAATCCTTACCTTCAGAAATGGCCTTCCTCATGGCCTCCAGGTAGATCTCAGGCTCGTCGTCACAGGTGAGCTCCTGCCAGTGGGCCCAGTTGGGGAAGAAGTGCGAGAATTCCTCCTCACTGCCCTGAACCCCACACAGCAGCCTGACCACGCGTCGCGGCGGCTGGAAGGCCCTCTGCAGCACAGGCAGCAGCGCAGGCTGGTAGAAGTGCTGCACCAGCTCTGCAGACAGCAGCACCAACACGCAGCGGGGGCTCAGGAAGAGGCGCAGGTCCTCGGCAGAAAAGGAGGTCTGGGGGCCCAGCCGGTGTGTCAGCATCTTCTGGCTGCGGACCTGCCGACTRGTCAGGAAAAGGTCCTGGAGGTATTGGCACCATTCCTCTGCATCCGGGCTGTAGATTATGAGGATGTCACATCTTCTGGGCACCCCTGGGCAAGAAGGAGGCAGGGACGCTTGTTAACACACTTGCTCCTTCTAGGAGGTTTCCCACAACCAGCAAGGACGTAGCGTCCAGGCAAGGGGCCTGGCACCAGTTGTCATCCACTTCCCGCAGTAAATGTGTGCCAGTCATTCCTCCCAGGCAGCAGAGGTGCAGTCTGGGATTACAACTGCAATAATTGTAGCAACAACAACATTGCATAGCTCTCACTGTTTCCTGCTCTCTTTTTAGCACACTGCCTATGTAAGGTGCCCCTCCCCACACCTGGTCTGTAACATGAACTTTCTTCTTCTCCCTCTATTAAAGTACAAATGCAGAAACAGGGGCCAAAGGGGCTTTGGGGATCACTTGGACCAACTCTCATTTGCACATGAAAGAAACACTTGTCTGGGAATATTAAGGGTCTTGCTCGAATTCACACTCAGCAAATTGGTGGCACAGTTGGGATGCACACTCGGTGACTCTGGGCTGCCAGTCCAGGCTTTGGCCAGCCCCTGCTGCCTCCCCTCAGGAACTCCGTCAAGAATCTTCTAATTCATCAAGGAAAGAAAACCTCAGGCCGACATCCCTAATAAACATTGACGCAAAAATTCTCAACGAATGCTAGCAAATCGCATATAAAAACATATTAAAAAGACAATTGAGTGGGGTTCATCCCAAGGATGCAAGGTTGGTTCAACATACAGAAATCAATAAACRTAATTCACCACATCAACAGACTTAATGACAAGAATCACATGATTATCTCAATAGATGCAGAAAAAGCATTTGACAAAAATTAGCATCCACTCATGCTCAAAACACTTAAAAAAAAAAAACTAGGAATAGTCAGGACATACCTCAACAATTTAAAAGCTATAAACACTGAACCAAGGCCAACGCCATTTTAAATGGAGAAAAACTGAAAGCATTCCCTCTAAAAACTGGAACAAGACAGGAATGCCCTCTCTTACCACTCCTATTCAACATAGTCCTCGAAACCCTAGCCAGAGCAATCAGATGAAAGAAAGAAATTAAAGGGATATGAATAGGAAAAGATATATCAACTGAAAGAGAAATTAGGAAAATTACTCCTTTTATAATAGACTAAAAAAAAATGGGAATCAACCTAACCAAAGAGGTGAAAGACCTCTACAATGAAAACTACAGAATACTAAAAGAAATTGAAGCAGACCTCATAAAATTGAAAGATCTCCCATGTTCCTGGATAGACAGAATTAATATTATCAAAATGGCCATACTACCAAAAGTGCTATACAGATTTAATGCAAGGCCTATAAAGATCCCAATGACATTCTTCATAGWAATAGAAAAATCAGTCATAAAATTCGTTGGGAAAAATAAAAAGCCCAGAACAGCCAAAGCAATCCTTAGCGCAAAAAGTGATGCAGAAGACATCATAATACCAGACCTGAAATTATACTACAAAGCTATAGTAACAAAACCAGCATGGTATTGGCACCAAAACAGACATGAAGACCAATGGAACAGAATAGAAGAAACAGAGACAAACCTATATAAATACAGTTATCTCATCCTAGACAGAGGCGCCATAAACATACAGTGGAGAAAAAAACAGCCTTTTCAACAAATGGTGCTGGGCAAACTGGAAATCCATATGTAATAGAATGAAATTGAACCTCTATATCTCACCCTACACATGTGGATCAAGGACCTAGGCATTAGACCACAGACTCTGCACTTACTAGAAGAAAAATTAGACCCAACTTTCCAACATGTTGGCTTAGGAACCAAATTTCTCAACAAGACTCCTAAAGCACAAGAAGTTAAATCAAGAATCAATAAATGGGATGATATCAAACTGAAAAGTTTCACAGCAAAGGAAACAATCAAGAACATGTACAAAGATCCTACAGAATGGGAGAAAAATCTTTGCCACCCGAACCTTAAATAAGGCATTAATTTCCAGTACATACAAAGAGCTCAAAAAACTTAAGAAAAATAAGTAACCCAATCAATAAATTGGTAAAGAAACYGAACAAACACTTCTCAGAAGGTGATATACAATCAACCAACAAATGTATGAAAAAATGTTTCAACATCTCTAGAAATTAGAGAAATGAAAAGATTCCATCTCATTCTAGTCAGAATGGCAATTATAAAGAATATAAGTAACAATAAATGTTGGGGAGGATGTGGGGAGAAAGGTACACTCATACATTGTTGGTGGGACTGTGAATTGGAACAACCWCTATGGAAAGCAGTATGGAAATTCCTTAAAGAACTTGAAGTGGAACCACCATTTGACTCAGATATCCCACTCCTTGGTCTATACCCAAAGGACTTAAAAACAGCATTTCTTCAGTGATGCAGCCACATCAATGTTTATAGCAGCTCAACTCATAATAGCCAAGCTATAGAAACAACCTATGTATCCCCCAATGGATACAAGAATAAAGAAAATGTGGCATATATACACAATGAAATATTATTCGGCTATAAAGAAGAATGAAATTATGGCATTTGCCGGTAAATGGATGGAACTGGAGAATATCATACTAAGTGAAATAAGTCAATCCCCAAAAAACAAAGGCAGACTATTCTCTCTGATTTGTGAATGCTAACCCAAAACAATAAAGGTTGGGGAGGGGAATAATAGAAATCCATTGGATTAGACAAAGGGAAATGTAGAAGATTAACTATTAACATAGGTTAGTACAGCTCTGGGTTCTTGTCTCCACTGTTTTAATCCACGGTTTGGGGAATGATTTGGAAGAGATGAACACAGTGTCCACACATCTCTTAATGAGGCTGGACCCTTCCTCCTCATCACAGAAGGAACGTGGTCACATTTTGTGAAACTGAGAAATCATCGAAGTTGTAGATTTTCACCATTAAATGACATTCCTAGACCACAGATCACTGAGCAGTTCCAAGAGAGGAGGTCACAGGCAGACCTGGGGAAAGACCAGGAAGCTCGAAGCTCTGAAGAGATCATGGGAGGACTCCWCTTTCTTGCCCCTATCCACCCTTATATTCAAAGTTTAAAAACAATAAAAATGTAAGCCGGGCAAAGCATCAAAGGCCTATAATCCCAGCAGCTCAGGAGGCGGAGGAAGGAGAACCACAAGTTTAAAGCCAATCTCAGCAACTTAGCGAGGCGCTAAGCAACTCAGTGAAACCCTGTCTCTAAAAAAAATATAAAAAAGGATGGGGATGTGGCTCAGTGGTCGAGTCCCCCTGAGTTCAATCCCTACCCACCCCTCCCCTGCCAAAAAAAAAAAATTGAAAATGTAAACCCAAAACTGTTCTGATTTCCCCTAGGATAATATTACAAAACAAAAATTTTAATACAAATAAAACCAAAGCTTGGAGTTMTTTCTTTTGGGAACCCTGCTTCTCTGGATCCCTAATCAAGTGTTAATATAAAACCTAATTGGCTGATTAGCAGGAATAAGTGGATCAGCCTGGGAATACTTCCTGAGGGAATGTGCGCAAACTTTTTAAGTCATCAGAAGATGATATGAAACGGGAGAAAACCAGGGAGCGATTCAGATGATGGCGTGGACATGCGTGGCTCCTCAGGGAACTCAACTCCAAGCCCCCTCCACTTCCTCACTTGTGAATAAAACAGTCCTTTTCAGGAATGCTTAGTGTGATTCCAAAATTGAAGCAGATGAAGGACAAAATAAATTTGAATGTGCCAATGTTGCAGACTTCCGTTAAAAAAAAAAAAAAAAATCTTTGCTGAGTGGGTCTTTTTTTTTTTCCTCCTTTTCTTTCAGGGTAGAATATTTATATCTCAACAAAAACATAATTTCAGGTCCATAGAAGRCATAAAAATTAACAAAGCTACCAAAGTATAGAACTTGCAGTGAGAAAAGCAGTTAAAGTGTCAGAATACATTTCCATTTTTTTCTGTCCCTCTTTATTATGGCTGTTTTATCCTAAAAGGCAAATGTTCTAAGTGGGAAGTGTTATTGTAAACGAGTTTGCATGATCATGAGTCATCAGATAGGAAATGTATAAGACTTCACATCTCACTACAATATTAAGGATGCAAGGTTATAGACGCTGAGCTCATACAAAAAAATAAATGCAAAAACAAGAAAGGGTAGCCACTACCTCTTTCCCCATACAGATATTCTACAAAGTACCATGTCAGCAATTTGGGCAAATAAGCAGAAGGAGAATAAGACTTCAGAAAGGGATAGCTGTGGCCCCACACAATAGTGATGAAGAACCAAAGGGTGATGCCTTCAACAGGACTGACAAATGATGGCAAGAAAGTAAAGCAGCAGGAAGAGGATTTCCTGGAACATAAGAACCATTAGAAGGCAAGGTGGAGCCAGGCATGGTGGTGCACCCCTGTCATCCCAGTTACTGTGGAGGATGAAGCAATGTGTCAATGTTGCAGACTTCCATTTAAAAACAATCTCTTTAGGGCTGGGGTTGTGGCTCAGTGGTAGAGCACTCATCTAGCATGTGTGAGGCCCTGGGTTCRATCCTGAGCACCACATAAAAATAAATAAATAAAATAAAAGTATTGTGTCCAAGTACTTCTAAAAAATAAATATATTTTTTTTTAAAATCTTTTTATGGAAAAGGTAGGAGGATCACAAGTTCAAGGCCAGTCTAGGCAACTTAATGAGACCTTAAGCGACTTAGCAAGACCATATCTCAAAAATAAAAACTAAAAAGGGCTGGATGTTGCTTAGTGGTAAAGTGCCCCTGGGTTCAATCCTTGGTACCAAAAAAAAAAAAAAAAAAAAAAAAGCAAGGTGTTTCAGCACTAATTTAGCAGAAAAGAACAATTGTATGCTGCCCTGAAGACCATGTGGCCATGAAATTACTCCAATTGTATGAGAAGGATTTAGTGACCCAAAAGTAAAGTGTCATTTTTAATGAATACCACTGGAGTCACTCTGGATGCTGCTCACCAGCTCCTGCTCTCTGGAACAGCATGTCACAATACTTGGTATTCATTAAAGACTTAAGTTTAAATTGTCATTCAGCACTGAACACCGA